CCCGTATCCCCTGCATCGGCAGGCGGACTCCCAACCACTGCGCCACCAGGGAGGCCCCCTCTGTACCCATTTTGATGAGAGTTTTTATCATGAATGGATGTTGAATTTTGTCAGTTGCTTTTTCTGCATCTACTGAGATGAACATGTGATTTGTATCCTTCCTTTTGTTAATGTGGTGTATCATATTGATTGATTTGCAAATATTGAACCATCCTTTCGTTCCTGAAATAAATCCAACTTGATCATGGTGTATGATCCTTTTTATATATTGTTGGATTCAGTTTGCTAATATTTCATTCAGGATATTTGCATCTGTATTAATCAAAGATACTGATTAGATACAAAGATTAATCAAATTTTCTTTTTTTATAATGTCTTTTCTGGTTTTGGCATCAGGGTAATGGCGGCCTCATAGAATGAATTTGGGGAATATTCCATCCTTTTCAATTTTTGGAATAGTTTGAGAAGGATAGGTATTAGCTCTTCTTTATATGTTTGGTAGAATTCCCATGTGAAGCTGTCCAGTCCTGGACTTTTGTTTACTGGTAGTTTTCTTATTACAAATTCAATTTCACTGCTAGTGATCAGTCTGTTCAAATCGTCTGTTTCTTCTTGATTCAGTCTTGGCAGATTGTATGTTTTTAGAAATTTGTCCATTTCTTCTAGGTTGTGCAGTTTGTTGGTGTATAACTATTTGTAGTATTCTCTTATGGCTTTTTTGTATCTCTGTGGTATCAGTTGTTATTTCTCCTTTTTCATTTCTTATTTTGTTTATTTGTATCCTCTTTTCTTCTTGGCGAGCCTGGCTAATGGTTTATCAATTTTGCTTATCTTTTCAAAAAAAACAGCTCCTGGGTTTCATTGATCTTTTCTATTGTTTTTTTAAATCTCTGTATTATTTCTTTCTTTCTGATCCTTATTATTTCCTTCCTTCTGCTGATTTTGGGCTTTGTTTGTTCTAATTCCTTTTGGTGGTAGGTTAGGTTCTTTATTTCACATGTTTCTTGCTTTCTTGAGGAAGGCCTGTATTGCCATAAACTTCTCTATTAGAACTGCTTTTGCTGCATCCCATAGATTTTGGAGCGCTGTGTTTCCACTTTCATTTGTCTTGAGGTATTTTCTGATTTCCTCTTTGATTTCTTCATTGACCCATTGGTTTTTAGTAGCATGTTGTTTAGTCTCTATGTGTTTGTTCTTTTCCCATTTTTCTATCTGTAATTGATTTCTAGTTTTATACTGTTGTGCTTGGGAAAAAAATGCTTGATATAATTTCTGTCCTCTTAAGTTAGTTGAGACTTGTTTTGTGGCCTAGCACATGATCTTTGCTGGAGAACATTCCATGTGCACTTGAAAAGAATTTGTACTGTGCTGTTTTTGGATGTAATGTCCTGTAGATATCTACTAAGTCCAGTTGGTCTGTTGTGTTGCCTTATTGATTTTCTGTCTGGATGGTCTGTCCATTGATGTAAGTGGGGTGTTAAAGTCCCTTACTATTACTGTGTTATTTTTGATTTCTCCTTTTATGTCTGTTAGTATTTTCTTAATATATTTAGGTGCTCCTGTATTGGGTGCATATATGTTAAATAGTGTAATATCCTCCTCTTGTATTGATCCTTTTATTATATTATGCCCTTCTTTGTCTTTTGTGTGTTATAGCCTTTGTATTAAAGTCTATTTTGTCTGATGTAAGTATTACTACCCCTGCTTTCTTGTCAGTTTTGTTTGCTGAAATATCTGTTTTCATCCCCTCACTTAAACTCTGTGTGTGTCTTTAGCTCTGAAATGAGTCTCTTGTAAGCAGCATACAAAAAGATCTTATTTTTAATCCAGTCAGTCACCCTATGTCTTTTCTGTGTGTCGAATTTTTTATTGTGGTAAAATACACATAACATAAAATATACCGCCTTAACCATTTTA